TTTTAAAAAAAAAAAAAAAAAAAAAAAAAAAAAAAAAAAAAAAAAAAAAAAAAAAAAAAGAAAATCTGTGACCTCTGAAAGCTTGCTTTATGGACATTGTTATACTTTTCTGCATCTTTATATGTTACTTTTCACTTATGTAGAGATATAGATGTTTAAAGAGTACGGAAATTCTTAAAGTTCATACATGCATATATGCATACATACATATACATGCATGTACATTCTTTATACATATATACACTCATGTATATATACAAGGGGTCTTCAGGAAGTTCATGGGAAGATCTTTTAATTCTATTTTTTCATGAACTTTTTGAAGTGCCCTCATATTTATGTGTGTGTGTTTATTACATATGTATATATATTGTGTATATATATACACAATATGTGTGTGTGTGTGTGTGTGTGTGTTTGTATATATATATATACTTTCTATCCTTATCATGACAAAGAGTCTTTTGTTAGCTTAGGATATTTTTCATAGATGAAAGTTTAGCTAAGCCTTAATTTTTGCTATGAAAAATAACTGGTATTATTACCACATAAAATTTTTCACTAATATCATAAGGGAAATTATTAGTTTATCTTAGAATAAGTCATTCAGCATGAAAATAAAGTGCAAATAGAAACATAATTAAGAATTTCTAGGTCTTTGGCAAAGAATGTCCATGAATTTTCCTTGTCTAACCCTTATCCAACTCTTAGGTAAATTGATACTCCCTGAAGAGTATGCATTTCATTAAGAATTTCTAGGTCTTTGGCAAAGAATGTCCATGAATTTTCCTTGTCTAACCCTTATCAAACTCTTAGGTAAATTGATACTCCCTGAAGAGTATGCATTTCTTTTTTTTTTTTTTTTACTTGCTCCACATTCTACATTTACTTCTGTTTTAAAATTGAGCATCAGAGAGTTGTCTACAGATTTGACATAGTCCACAGGTTTGGCTAGTTGGAAAACTAATTTTTCTGGACTTAACACTTGAGTATTTAGACCATGACATGTGTCAAGTGGCCCTAAAAAAAAAGCAGTTGTATGACATTCCCCATTGTATTTATTGTAGGGTGTAATTGAGAACCTTGTCCACTAAACCACACTGTGTCCCCCTTATGAGGACCAACAGGAGAAATTTCTCTCAGTTCTCAGTACCAGGAAAAGCTATTTCTCCTGAGCAGCTGGTATGTCTTAAATTATAGACCCTCTGTATTGTGTTTTCACCATATTTTCTTTTTTGCTTTGGTTGCTAGGAAGTTCAGAATTAAATCTGTGATACAATTTTATTAGTTGTAGGTTTCATCTGGTGTACATTTCTTTATGCTGTCTCTATCCCAGATTTGTTTTACTATTCTACACTTATATTCCTGTGCTTCTTGATCTCTTTGTCTATTTTTATATTATTATGCATTTTTGTTAGCCACCTGAAAAGTTTTCCTTTGGAAGAAATCGGGTTTAAAATATCCTTTTTTGCTTATTGGAGACCAGCTAACATAAGTTTAACTTTAGTGAAGACATGTTGCAATATGATATAAATATATATTATAATTTTTCTACTTCATTTGTAACTTATTAGCCTAAAACTATTTTGGAATCCCTGCCTAAGTACCCAAAAAACACATGGAGCCTAATAAATACAGTAATAAAACTATTCATTTGTATCTTTATTGAAATGTTACCCTTAATCTACTGGTATTTACTTCTTTTGAGAGTTGGTGTACATTATATCAAACATTATAGTGGTGAGTATATAGTTCATTATTTAAAATTTTCAAATATAACTACATTTTCCAAGGTATTTCCAAATGATGAATAATGGAAAACATCTAATTTTGGCTATCTAGCCAACAGAATGGGAAAACATTTTACATATAAAAAAATTCCAGATACTTGCCCAACTTTGAGGGGTGAACACATTATGTAGCTAGATTGTTATATTTCCACCTTCTTCTATGTGGAGAGCTCCTTCTACAGGAAGGATAGCTTGATGTGAAGTAGTAATAATACATTTTTTCCAATCTTACTTAGGGAAAAGTAAAATAATAAGTTAATTATTCTAGGAGGAAAATGTGTAATTGAAGTAGTGTGACATAGGTCTTCTTGGATATAGTTCCTTTCACCATAACAAAATGTCTTTTTTGTATATTTTTATGAATTTGTGTGGTATTTTATAACAGTAGTTTTATTTGTAATGCTCAGTGAAATATTCAATATCTCATACATCATAATATGTAACTAAATTTTTCTCACTTTAAAACATAATTATCAAATTCCTCATGGAAAAATATACCTGGGAAGGAGGGATGAACAGGTGGAGCACAGAGTATTTTTAAGGTAGCCAAACTGTTCTGTATGACACTGTAATGGTGAATACAAGACATTATGCATTTGGCGAAACCCATAGAACTGTACAATACTAAGAGGAAATCCAAATATAAAATTAAGTTAATAATAATATATCAATATTGATTCAGATTTGTAACAAATGTACCACCCTAATGTAATGTGTCACTAAGAGGAAAAGCTGTGTACGTGTATGTGGGGAGGGTATAGGACCCATCTGTACTTTCTGCTCAATTTCTCTGCGAATTAAGAAAAATGAATTATAAAAAGTTATACCTGGAAAAATACATGATGTCAAATAAAAATTTATAATAAATTTCATATTTAAACTAGGATAATTTATGTAAAAATCTTCAAACTTCAGAAAAGAATAAAAATGAAAAGTAATAAAAATAATTTTTCTAATTTTTTGTGGAAAAACATTTTATCATCTCTTCCTTTACTTTTTATTAATCTGTGGTTTTTTCCCCCCCTTTTTCCCATAGGCACATTGGGAAGGCCTCACAGGCAGAATAACTTTCAACAAAACCAATGGCTTACGAACAGATTTTGATTTAGATGTGATCAGCCTCAAGGAGGAAGGTCTGGAAAAGGTACTCAAGGCATTCAGCTTATCTGCTTTAATTATTAAATGAAACATGTCCTGATGAAGAAGGAAATATTCTCTGTTGTAGTCATGTTTTATTGTCATTTTTCTTTACTGAATAACTCTAAAAAATATTTTTTCAATTTATTAATTGAAATAATAATTGACAACTAGGATTAAAGGATAGACGGTGTCTTATGAAAATTTAAGTATTTTATTTTCTCACCAGAGTTTTTGAAACTTTGAAATGCATATTTTTAGTTTTAAGATTTAATATAATAATTAGAAAATATTTGGTTCAATATTGGTCTTTGTCACATTCTGGAGGGTAATGTGCTTTATTCAGAGTCTACTGATTTAAATGTTAATCACAACTAAAAATAAAACAAAACAAAACAAAAAATATAAGTCTTTGGATATGCTGTTTATACTTGTGCTTGTATAGACTTTCCAACTTTGAGAAGGCCATAAAAAGGGTTAAATAGAGAAGCATGTTTTCATATTTCAACATTTCCATATTCAAGTGAAATGTCTGAATTAATGTATGCAAAGTAAATTAATTAATGTGTGAGCATAAATGCAGCACACTACACTAGATCTATCTTCCTCGATTCTATTTTTAAGGATTGAGGTAAAACACAAGCAAAGTTTATACTATTTGGGTATGTGCTTTCTTTAAGAATATTTTAGGGTAAGTTTGCTTATATTTGTACTGAATACATTTAGGTGTTTTCCTGATATATTCATTGAAAATTATGGATTAAACACAAGTTTTAATAAGAACTTAGGAAAAATTGTATTTGTCTATGATAATATTGCTTTCAAGAGAGTAGGTATCTTATGTTTCGTCTAGAAATTTAATGTAGAGCATTATTCACAGATTTTCCATCTATAGAAACTGAAGAAGAAAGAAAAGGATTCTTTTAGCCTGAGTGATAACAGCATGTTTGAGTGCTCATTCAAATGATCCAGGAGAGAGAGGGAACATTTTGGTAATGTCACCAAGACAGGGATAAGTACATCATGACCAACTGATGCCTCAAGTTGATAGAAGAGTTACCTCCCCCCACTGCAAGTGTCAGACTGTACCCTTTGTCAGGACCATGCAAAATCAGGAGTGTTTTATAACAAGCTAGAACCCAGATATTCATGAAGCAGTCATTTCCTAACCACCTTGCTAGCAAGATGAGAACATTAGTTTGCATCCAAGCTCTCAAGGTTTTTATCCCATTGTTTACTGGGGATGTTATTACCTTATTTTTTTGAAATATCCAAGTCAGTAGGGCGGGTTTTGACCATTGCTTATATCTCAACACACCAGCAGGAAAGTGGTGATGCTTTTCAAATTATCATAAATCCAGTCCTGTCTTGGACTTGAAATAAATAAAACATTGCAGAAGTTTTTGATATGCTCTAATGTGACCTATACAAAGAGCAGAATATAATGGTTATCAAGCCCATGTGATAATCCACCATATTGATAAGCAAGGTTAAACAGTATGAGTTTATGAATGTTGCCCTAAAATTTTACAAGTATTTTGTATTCTCTTCTGAAATCTGAAATTTTGTTTTGTTAAGTTAATTACACACAATGTTTATCCTTCAAGGGCTTTTCATATAGAGTGATCAGATAACACATGTTTGTGAAAAAATAAAATAGAAAGCTGTCTGTTTCAAGCCTTTAAAAGAGCAATGAAAGAATATTTCTGACAAAAGATATAATTAAGTAAAGAATCACAATAGATGGGGTACTTACAATTAGCCTTTGAATAGTGGGGGATTATTGATTGTCAAAGACTAAGTCATTTCAGAAAGAGGTAACACTATGGAGAAAGAAATAGCATAGGGTTTGATTCAATCATTATGCATACACACACAGCAGAAGTGGGAGATAGAGCTAAATGCCAGAATTGAGTCCTAACATGCATGTCATGTCAAGATATTTGCAATGTATACTAAGTAACACTATGGAGAAAGAAATAGCATAGGGTTTGATTCAATCATTATGCATACACACACAGTAGAAGTGGGAGATAGAGCTAAATGCCAGAATTGAGTCCTAAAATGCATGTCATGTCAAGATATTTGCAATGTATACTAATACACTACGTTCAGAGAAAATAGCCTGGAGGACTATGTGTCACTTGGGAAGATATTATAATGTAGAACAACTTTAGTATGGGGACCATGAATTTAAAGCTGTTCGAAGTGGAAGTGGGAGATTAATTAACAGTGACAGAAGACATTAATTTAACCTTCAGCAATGTTGTTAGTTCAAGGACTAGCAGAACATTGGTATTATGATTTTAAGGAGAAAACGAGGAGCAAGGTAGCAAAAGGGGGAGATAGTGATAAATATGTAAATTGAAGATTGGAAAAGTGATTAGCAAGTGGGAGAATTAATAGTAGAAATAGATTGGCACAAATCTTTCCTTGAAGAAACACATAAGGTACTGAGATGGTTGAAAGTAAGTTAGAGATAAGGGGAACTAACAGAGTTTACATCAAATGTTTCCACTGTCCTCAAAAATGAGTACATGAAATCAAAAGCTAAAAGACAGAGATAGGGTTAAAGTTTAGCCAGCTCTTAAGAAAAATTGGAAATGTCATTCTGGCAGACTTAATCTTGAGTAGGCAGGAATAAAATACAGTTAAGTAGCAAAAGTTCCTCATTTTTTGTTTAGTGGAATGGTTGAAAGCTCAAGGTCTAGATTCAGACATAATTGGGCTCAAATTCTTACTCCAGAAATAGATTGGCACAAATCTTTCCTTGAAGAAACACATAAGGTACTGAGATGGTTGAAAGTAAGTTAGAGATAAGGGGAACTAACAGAGTTTACATCAAATGTTTCCACTGTCCTCAAAAATTAGTACAAGAAATCAAAAGCTAAAAGACAGAGATAGGGTTAAAGTTTAGCCAGCTCTTAAGAAAAATTGGAAATGTCATCTGGCAGACTTAATCTTGAGTAGGTAGGAATAAAATACAGTTAAGCAGCAAAAGTTCCTCATTTTTTGTTTAGTGGAATGGTTGAAAGCTCAAGGTCTAGATTCAGACATAATTGGGCTCAAATTCTTACTCTGCAGTTTACTATTTACAGACAAGTTTCCAAGCACAGTGTCTTCAACTGAATCATGGGCAATATCAGTGCATGCCTCATGAAGACCAGCAAGTTTTGTTGACTTTGCCTTTATTTTTTTCTGAAAAGGTATAGTTATTAACTCATAGATGAAAAAGACAGAGTCCCTACCTTGATAGAGTTCACAGTTGAGAAGGGACAAAAATGGTGACCCAGCAGGCTTGAAATACAATTTTTTTTAATTGAAACATAGTTGATTGTACAAATCTGTGGGGTACAGAGTTGAATATCAATATCCGTGTGCAATAAGTGATGCTCAAATCAGCATTATTAGTATATTCAACACTATGCAATGTAATAGTTTTTTTGTGGCCTTTTACTAATTCTTCCCTTTCCCACCTCTGGTAATCTCAGTTCTGTTCTCTCCTTTTGAAAGTTCAACATATTATTGTGAATGTTGTTTGTTTGTTTCTTTCTTTTTTCTTTCTTTCTTTCTTTCTTTCTTTCTTTATTTCTTTCTTTCTTTCTTTCTTTCTTTCTTTCTTTCTTTCTTTCTTTCTTTCTTTCTTTTCTTTCTTTCTTTCTTTCTTTTTTTCTTTCTTTCTTTTCTTTCTTGCTCCCACTTATAAGTGAGGACATGTGGCATTTCTCTTTTTGTGCCTGATTTATTTCACTCAACATAATTTTCTCTAAGTTTACCCATTTGCTGTGAGTGGCAGTATTTCATTCTTTTTCATGGCAGGGTAGTATTGCATCTACATTTTCCTTATCCATTAGTGTGATGATAGACATTTAGATTGGTTCCAACTCTTGGCTACTGTAAATAGAGCTGCAGTAAACATGGTAGTGCAGGTATCTCTTTGAAATGATGATACCCATTCCTTTGGGTTTATATCCAGAAGTGGAATTGCAGGATCATATTATAGTTCTATCTGCAGTTGTTTGAGGAATCTATGTACTATTTTCCATAATGGCTACACCAATTTATAGTCCCAGCAACAGTGCAGGAGGGCTCCCCTTTCTCCACATCCTCACCAGCATTTGTTATTCTCTGTCTTTTTCCTAATAGCCAGTCTAGTTGGGGTGAGATGATACCTCAGTGTGGTTTTGACTTGCATTTCCCTGATGCTGAGTGATGTTGAGCATTTTTTCATGTGTCTGTTTCCCATTTGTATATCTTCCTTGGAGAAAAACCTATTCAGCTCCTTTCCCTGCTTTTAAGTTGGGTTACTTGTTTTTTTTTACTGTTAAGTTTTTCGAATTCCTTGTGTATTCTAGATATTAATCTTTTGTCAGATGCATAGTTTCCAAATATTTTCTCTCACTCTGTAGGTTGTCTTTTTGCTCTGCTAATCGTTTCTTTTTCTGTGCAGAGTCTTTTCAGTTGGATATAATTCCATTTATTTATTTTTCCTTTTGTTGCCTGTGCTTTTGGAGTAATATTCATAAAGTCTTTGCCCAGTCCTACTTCCTGAAGTGTTCCGCCTACACTTTCTTTTAGGAGTGTTGTAGTTTCCAATATTATATTTAAGTCTTTAATCCATTTTGAGTTGGTTTTGGTATGTTATGAGAGGTATGGGTCTAGTTTCATTCTTGTTTCTACATATGGATGTCCAGTTTTCCCAACACCATTTACTGAATATATATTCTGTTCCCCAATGTCTGTTCCTGGTGCCTTGTCAAAGATCATTTGGCTGTAAGTTTGTGGGTTGATTTCTGGGCTCTCTATTCTGTTCCATTGGTCTGAATGTCTGTTTTTATGCCAACACCATGCTGTTTTTGTTACTATAGCTTTGTAGTATAATTTGAAATCAGTAGTGTTATGCCTCCGACTTCAGTTTTTTGGCTCAGGAGTGCTTTGGGTATTTCGGAGTCTCTTGTTGTTCCACATGAATGTTAGGATTGCTTTTTCTATTTCTGTGAAAAAATG